ATAATTTAAAAATATTTTCCCAAAATAAATTCCCCTTCCCACACTCTTGTATTTTCCGTAATTTCCCTCTATTCTCCGTAGCGGCAACATGGGAATTCAAGGAAGTTTGAAAATCTGCCGTTCATTATATATAATTTAACCTAACCTAACAGTTTCATCTTGACGTTCACCTCTAGCCAGTGGTAGAGCTGCGCCGGAGGCATACAGATGTAGTTCCGGAAGAATGGCGACGACTTGGCCCGCGTTTTGAACGAATTGGCGATCGGTTTGGCCACTTGTCTGAAGGCCAGTGTCGCCAGTTTGACGATAGGAAACGCCGCCGCGACCATCGCTCACGAGGTTTTGGCTCTCGTATTGTGTTGTTAAGTGGTATATGTCTTGAGATAACACACCCGTCGGTGACTCAACTGTGTGTCCGCTCACAGTCACCACAAACACCCGATGTCTCGCCCGCCTATTGGCCAATCAAAACAGCTGTTTGTCTATCGGTATGAGTGGATTAGTTTCGGTGATGTTTACGGTTTGCGGTTTACTTACAGGTGCTGTCGATCCCTATCTCTCACGCCTACCGGTGCTCTCACTCTCGCACTTCTTGTATGAGATGTGGTTTACTCTTGTAATCAATACTTTAATTATGGTTTTAAACACACATTTAATTAAACACTCAATTCATTAAAAGTTAAATTAAAAGTTACGACAAAATTATTAACACATTTATAACGTGTTGTCATTTACACAGTGTTTACACCCTTTGCGACCCAACTATACGTTAATTTATACATTCATAACACATTTCAAACATTAATTATTATTAATAACTAATTAAAAGTCTAATTAAACGCAAATCTTGTCCACAATTAATAGTAATTGTGATTAAAAACAAACAGCAAATCACGTGTTGTTGTGTTTATTATGCAATTTATTGGGTCTGCAGTGAAACATATGAACCAGACGTGAAGCTGCCATGTATTGCCTCAAACATTTTTAGTGACTAAAGGGGGTGGGGGTTAGCCTTAATAGTAATAAATATTCATATGTAAGGTGCCATTTATGTATGGTAGCTTTATATATGGTTAATATAATGTTATCTTGAATGTAAATCAATAACGTGTGGTTAGTATTGAAAAATAAAAGTTTTGTAACAAGGTTAATTTAATTCGTATTATTTGATTGTGTAAATTAATTACATAGGAATCCAAATACAAGAAATTAATTGAATCAATATATGTTGAAAATTTTAAGAATTAAAAATAATGTGCAAAACAGCATTATATATATTTAATAGGGCAGAGCGATTGTTTGATACAATTTACATTGTATTAACAACACCCAAATTGTATACAACGCCCCCGTCGACCACAACATTAGCGCCGGTAATAAAGTGGGCGTCAGTGGAGGCCAGGAATGCGACCGCACGGGCGATGTCTAGGGGTTGACCCACTCTTCCCAATGGTATGTATTTAATCGCAAGCTTTTCAAGAGGTGTCAGAGTGTCTCTGTTTTGTATAACACCCGGACTATTGACATCAATGATCATGATTGAGTGAGATATACATACAGTAGATGAGGTAATATTAATAATAACTTAATAGTACTTACGTAATAGTATTGACGCGAATACCTTTGGGCCCCAATTCCAGGGCTAATATTTTGGTCAACATATCCAGACCCGCTTTGGCCGATGAAAAGGCAAGATTGTTTTTGGTCTAAACAAACCATTTAATTATAATTTTAAATTAATATGGTAAAAATAAACATGATAATAAGTGTAATGTGATGAATAATTAAGATTGTTAAGTATGCTACTGTAGTTTATGGATATATAAACTCAATTTAATGATATAGCAACATATTTGAATCATAAATATACTAAACACTATATACCGGTGCCATTGCGAGGATACTTGAGATATCAATAATAGTTCCGTTAGTCTTCTCCAGATGTGGAACCGATCGGTGAGTAATCTCTACGATAGAGCGTAAATCGATGGCAAATAACTGATCCCAAACTGACAACAGATCCGGTTGTGTGATGTTTGTGTCAATAAGGATACCGGCGTTATTGACCAATACATCAATTTTGCCAAATGTTTTAACCGTAGAATCGACTAAATTGTTTAAATCAGAGGTTTTGGTCAAATCTCCCACAACTTCTAATGGCTGTTAGAAAATGATTGTTATATTATAAATTTATTTTATATTTCATTTCTTATTAAATATACCTTCAACTTTAGTGGCGACAACACCTGGACCTCTTTGGCCACTCGTTGAACGTCCTGTGCTTTCCTTCCGGTGACCACAACATTAGCCCCTAATATTGAGAACAGTTTAACGATTCCCTCTCCGATGCCCGACGAGGAACCGGTCACTAAAACCACTTTCCCCGTAAAGTCCCGGGACTTTGCGACCGCTTTATAGTCTTCGATAGGATAGTCTGCGCTCACAATACAAACCAATCCACACATCAATGCTATTAAGAATTTCATATTTAACAACTAATTATAAAATATTATAATTAAAAATATTATTAATTCAAAATATAAGTTTAGTGACAATCTTATTATTCGTTGAAAATATATACGACTTTATAGCTAAATATTTTGCACTAAAAATACTTGATTGAATGCACTATTATACATTAGAACGGGTAAATGTCAAATACACTAGAATTGCACTGGAATCACACTAGAATATTTAAAATATCATAGTAAAATATTACAGTATTTTTAGTGCAAAATTAAAATTCAGATTTTTGAAATATACTTGATTAATCAAAGTACTATATCAAATATTATTTTAAGAGTATCTATAAATTAGATTTATTTCTCAATTCAATAAACCACTTAACTATGTTTTTTAAATACTTTTATATCTAACAACATTATGATATAAAATATGATCTTGAAATATATTTAAATATTTATTACAATAATGCTTTTAAATCCGGGTCTTTTTAATTCCGTGAGTACCCCCTCTTTCTGCCCCCCATTGACTGTACGCTCCTAAAAATCATTTGTACACACCTACAAAATCATCCAATAATAGAGG